GTCAAGTTGACGCTCTGGAATTCTTGTACTTTATCAGTATATTTGACATCAACACTCACTCGGAAAAGCCCCTCCACTTCCACTGGAAAGAAGCTGGGTCTTGCCAAGACCATCTATGAGCCTGACATGGCCCCAAGCATGTCATAAACCTAAGATTCTGAGGCCTACATTACCCTTTGCTTTATGATACTTGATTCCCAAAAGTGACGTTTTCATGCTTTGTCTTTCAATGCCAGCATTGCAAAAACTTGCTCCAGTTATTAAAATATTGTCCCTGTTGCACCTATGTACACGTGATTTTTTTAAAAGCTTGCATTTCATGTTTTTCTCCTCATAAAGATGAATGATCTTTTCTATGGCAAACATATCTTGATGAAATCAAATTCAAGTCACATGGGTATGAAAAAGGATTTTCATGCTTGTAGTTATATTGGAAATCCTGAATTGCTGGAGATATCGGTGGTTCATGGAAATGAGCAGGATAGAAGATTGGTGGCAAGCAGGATCATGTCCACGTCCTAGTCACTGGAATGTGTATAGGTGCAAAGGGCATGAAGGCTGCAAGTCAATGCCCTGACATGGAGAGGTGACGCTGGACTGTCCAGGTGGGCCCATGGCAATCACAAGGGTCCTTAAAGGAGCCAGCCCAGGAGGCTGTGCCCAGAGAGGGAAGAGCGCTGCTGGTCGGGAGGTGGAGGGAGGGCCGGGAGGCAAGCAGTGTGCCCAGCTCTAGAAGCCAGAAAGAGCAGAGAAAGGGATCCTCCCCCGGGGCCTCTGCAGGAATGCGTTCTTCCAGAACTGTGAGATAAATTTGTTTAACATGCTAAACTTGTGGCAATTTGTTACAGGAGCAATAGAAGATTAATACAAGATTGTTCTAGAAATCAGGAACACCCTGTACCTTATGCCTTTTGCTAATACCTTTGTTTTAAATTAATTTTACCACTTCTACTTGGGAGCCTAAGAAATATGTGGTGGTGGCAAGAGGGCAGATCACAGAGGGGTGGGGCTCAGCATGAGAAGTGAGAACTGGGAGAGAGGGTGGGAAAAAATGAAAACTTTTGTGTGGTACACCAACAATCAGTGCAGGGTGTGAGTCAAGTTCAAATGCAGGTTAACTCCTCTGATCGGTGCATTCAAAAGACAGGCAATTTATTAGGATATTTCAGTATATTCTTTGTTCATTTTCAAATAAATATTTTATGCATTTTGAGGAACTTTTGTGTCATAGGTTGTAACTCTTATAAAATCTGCAAATTTTAAAATTTCTCTGAACAAAACATGGCTGCCTAGTAATGGTACTACAGGTCAAATTGTGTGGTCCGATGGCAATTTTTGAAAAATCTAAATATCATTGTACCAGTAAGCCTGTAAACTGTGAACCACTGGAGAAGGCCACGTCAGTTATTGATGAAAATACATTCCCCAATATAGTTAGATTTTTTTATTTAAAAACAAAAACGGGTCTAGTCATGACTACCACCAGAGGGCACTATAACCTTTGCTGAAGATCAAAAAGCAGCCATTAAACACTTCCCAGGCAGAGGTTTTTTTTTTTTTTTCTGTGAAGAAGCAACACTGCAAAGCAGAAAATGAACACCAGTAGTATATGTCAATTTTTTTCCACGTCATTTTACTAGATATATATTTTTATTATTTTTATTTTTATCTTAGAAGTCGACTTCAACAAACACAAAGCAGGAGGAATGAGCCATGCCTCTTTTTTCAGTTTAGTCAAAGGGGTAGTTGACAAAGAATGAAAGCACAGCAAAATGTAAAGGTATCATTTCCACATTGACATCTTGCCCCCGAACACCATGCAGTGTGAAACGTCACAACCCCGTCATGCAAGAACATTAACACATATGGCGATTTAAAATCCTGGTGTTTATTACAGGGTGTTTAATGTCTCTATGGGGCATGCTTCCCCTTTGGACTAAAAGTAAAGGAATATGAATACAGAGCAGTTAAGTCTCCTCACGGCAAGAGAAATGTAAAAACACTTTTTAATTTAGAATCCATTTTTAATGTTTTCTGTGTGGTACTACGGTTGTACTGGAAGGAGTATAGAAACACGTGCGGAACAAGGCAGGGAGTTTGCTTCCTGTCTCACAGCACAGACGAACATGTGGCTACTCTACATCTCGGTCAAGCAGACAGCCAGTTTTCCCTGAGGGGAGGACTTACCCCCATCCCCAGTCTGTTTCAAGCAGGCTGCAAAAATCCTAGTATCAGGGGCTTTTATTGTTAATTATGTATCACAAACCCCAGGCAGTGCAGTCACACCTCCTGGTTCTGGGGCTTGATTTCTCTTGTGAGATAAATGTGCTAAAAATTAAAAGACCTCAATCGAACATCATATTCTATTAGACTGAAGGAGAAATGTCCTAAAACTTCATTTGGGTATGGCAGCTTTTCAGTATAAAGTGACTTTTGGATAGGCATCTTCTATACCTAAATTACTCACTGAATCGTCTGTGTGGCTATATCAAAATATTGGTATGTCGTCATTCTCACGAAGAGGTATGTGCCCTTCAATTTAAATATGGCTTGAAGTTGTATAGCATTGCTCCTCAAAAGACTTGAAAAATATGTTTTCTTTTCATCTGCTTCATCTCGGTGACATGGTTTGTGATTTGAAGGCTACCTGATAAAGTCATCATAATGGCATGGGAAGAAATTGGGAGAGAAAAGTCAAGGGACTAAACCTAATCACTAAGTTGGGTCTCTGACATCTGACATCACACGCCTTAAAAGGAAAACAAAATAAACACTCTCCATTTCTTTAAACATACTCTTTCGTCCAAGGGATCTCACAGCACCTAACAAATAGTATAATTTACAGAAGGAAATAGAGGAAGCACGGAGCAGCTAGTTTAAACTCCAGTTCACAGACAGCCCACCAGCTGCGGGACCGTTAGTAGAGACTGTACTCAAAGAATAGAGGCTCCCTCAGGGTTCAAATGGATGACTTAGCAAAAAAGCCACCACACCAGCTGTGCGCTGAGCCCCATGTGGTGGGGCACACACTCCACGTCAAACTGCGTGTTTCCCTACCAGGCTCTGCTCTGACGGCAACTTCCAAGGTAGCAGGCAAGACCGGGGCTGAGTCCCGAGACTCAGGCTTCAGTTCGGGCTTCACCACTCGGGCTCTGGGCCAGGCACTTCACTGTATTGAAAATCCACCATCGCCCCACAAAGACCATGGGGCAGAAAGAGGGGCCGAGGTAGGGCCCTGAAACACACCAACTTGCAAACTACAGTGTAAAATATAAGGCATGGGTTTCACATGGAAATCGGACTCCAAACACAGTCTTTCTTAGGCTTTCTGGCACTTTGTAATCCTATACTTTGGAATTCTTTCTAGGCCTTCGAGCCTACTCTGAGATTTGAGCTGCTGTGGAAAAACTATGGATTCTTAAAAGCAACAGATGACTTTCAAATGCAGAACTGATCATCTGCCACAGTGTGTATTTGTAACATATCAACCAGTGAGGGGCTGGTAGCAGGCTCCAGTTTGGGACTGCAGGCTGAGGACAGAGAGAAGAGGTCCTTTCCACAGCCGCAGAGAGGAGTCTTCTCTAGACTCTAATCCTTAACAGGTTCCACAGCTTTGGATTTACTTATGCTCAGAGATTATCCACTTCCTGAGTAGCCATGTTTCTGTGTCCTTCCACAGACCCTAGGGCTATAGGACTGAGTAGAGGAGTCTCCCCTTAAACCCCTGGAAACTACCCTAAATTCACTTCAGAGGTGACAAGCAAGCAATAAACTAGAAGTCATCCAGTTTTCCCAATATCCTTTAGACCAGAAAGGTAACTTGAGGTCAAGAGAGGCCAGCCCATGCCCTCCTACATTGATGTCACTCTTCCTCTTACTCCTCCTCTCTGTCCCCCTTCCTTCCTCTTATGGCCACAGCTGAGGTCGAGAACTCCCAAATGCAGCCCCCTACTTCCTAGCACAGCCTGGTCCAGAGCAGAGGCATTTACAGAGGGGAAAACCAAAATGGGCAAGCAGCTTGGGTCCAGAGGGCAGGGTGCAAAATTGTGCAGTTTAGTTTAACTTTCATTTTGAGAGACTGCAAAATAAACCTTAATGATCAAAGCAGGAGCTTCTAGACTAACTTTCTTGAAGTGTCTTTGAAAAATAACTTAAAGGCTTGGTTAGGTAGTCTCATGGTTCTTTTTTGCCTTTAAGTCTGAATGGTACTAAAGGAGTTCATAACAAAAGGTCAGTTAAAATGGGTATTCATGAAAAGCCAAAGGAAAGCAGTCAAATGTATTCACATGCCCTGGTCAAAAGTTTTTGGAGCTGTTTGATGTAGGACAAACTGTTTGGAAGTCTACAGGTTGATGTCACAAACCAAAGAAAAATAGATGGAAGAGCACTCTGCATGGTGCTGTTATTTCCACCGTTATCATTTCTCCTTCCCTCAACACTGCTCATCCTAAACAATCATCTGTGAATCCTAAACAATCAACCTTTTCATAGTGGCTAATCATGGGAAGGAGCAATGGTAATTTCCAGAGAAAGGAGGTTAAAGCACTGTCCTCTCAAATCAAAACATCAGGGACCACTCTGCAGACTGGAATGTGACTACCTCAGGTGCTTCCAAGCTTCCCTTGGTGTAGTACCTAAATGTCTGCTGGGCCAAATGGACTCATACGGCCTTTTAACTTAGAGAAGCTTCTAGTATTACAACTTACTTCCTGTCCCCCCTCCCCCTCCATAATGCTAAGATTGTTTTTTGTTTACAGAGTGTTAGGACTTCTTAGTAAAGCTTGGGGAAATATTCAACAACTATTTCCACTTAGTTTGCAGATACAATTCGGAGGTTATTTCCATTTGAATGTCAAGCCACATTTTGAAGCTATAAAATAAAATGTGTCATATCAACGATTTGTTGGGGGCAGACAGGGTCAGAGCAGGTTCTTGGTGGGCTGTGGTTATTCTCATGGTGAGAAATATTCATGGTGATTAAGTGAAACTTTCATATCTTTCCACTATGGAATTTCTTTAACACCCCCAAATTGCTATTAATCTTTAGTAAAAGATGACATTAGTCATATTTCATTTGGTCTAAGGTTTATAGGCATAAATGGCATAAAGCTTAAAGTTTATTTAATAGAAGGAATAACCTAAAAATCCTTTTCTGGTTAAGAGAATAACTTACCAATGATAGAGAAATCTAAGAACTCTGGGAGAGTTGGGTGTGGGAGGAGGTGGAAGAAGAAAATGAAAAATTATAAATACATGCCCCAATATTTTCCCCACAAGATTTCCTGAGCATTCTTCATACATTATAGTGCAACATAATAGCTCCACTGAACCAACGGTATTTCTATTCTTCTCAAGCAGAAAGTATATACTTCAAGTATATACTGAGCAAAACATATAATAGTATATCATCTTTTAAAAGACTAGTAATTTGAACATCTATAAATATATTTAAATAACAAACATTATAGATAGCTATTCACATAGCACACAAAGTGAGTGACACATAAACATACAAAAATAAAACAATCATGTTTTAACTCTTTTGTTGTTTTTGTTTTTTGAGGTTTTTGTTTTGTGGTTTTGGGGTTGTTTTTTTTTTAGTAAAGATATTAAAACAACTTAGATGCCAAAATCATCTTGTCAATATTGACCCCAGGGAAGCCTAGATGTAAATTCAAACTGTAATTAGGCACCACAGCCGAGGACAGAAGCAGCAAACATTCCTTACTAGACTTAACTATCTCCTATAGCTGTGTAGGGAAGCTGGGAGGCAGCAGCAGTCTCCACCTGTGAGGAGATAGATTCCTCTAGCTGTTGTGAGGAAAAGAAACATTAATCAGATCCCCCAACCTGGTTAAAGTGTGAAAATGCCAAGCTGTCCTCCGCGTGAGTGGAATATAGAACATGCTTCCTCCTTCGGCTCCCACGTACCACTGTCTATGAAGTATTTCTGGACAAGTGGAAAAGGCACCACCCTTCCGTACCAAAGGCAAGGAATATTTGTTCCACGATATCACATTGTCCTGCTCCAGTTGCTGCCTTAGAAAACATTCCTCCACTCAAAAAATGATTTGGGGTGTTCAGCCAGCCACCCAACCAGGTGGAACATGTACATTCTTCTTTCAGAAAACAAAATGTTTCTATGAATAATTATCCCTGGTAAAATTTGATTTTTGTCCACAGATTATTGTAATTCTCATGAGTGCAAGGAACAGGAGATATATTTCTTACATCCCACCTAGAGCCTAGCATCGCTGTGCGCTCCCAGTAGGAAGACAAAAAATGTCTGTCTAATTGAATTCAATCATTCCACTGTCAACAGATGTGTTACAATTGGAATGAGGAGTCCTGCTGTATTTGATGACTGTCTTCATCTAAGTCTCATCTTTAGAGATGGAGTTGATGCTTGAGAGACTGGGTTTCATTTTTCCTTTGAAGGAAAAAATGTAATTTCTTGCAACATCTTGAAGAGGTGCTTGTGGTAAAATATAAGAGGAGAGAATCCTGGGTTTTTCTCAAATAGAGTGTTCAACACAGGCTGAAGACGGTGGCTTCTTGAGTTCCTGGGGGGTGTCCTCGGGCACAGGCGTGGCCCGCTGCTGCTGATAGATGTCCTGGATCAGCAGGGTGTTCATGACTTTCCACTCTCTGTACTTCCTGGCTGTCAGCTTCGGATCATCCAGCAACTGGTTAATCATGGCCAGATCGTGTTCTTTACACTGTCCAAGGAGAAAAAGATGAGGAGAAGGGAGACACTGTGAGTACCTTAATTTCAATAAACCATCTTCAACCACCATTTTACATTTATCATAAAATTATCAAAGCATTTTTGCACATCAATATTCTAATCCCTACACCAAGCCTAAGAGATATGGCAGGACATCCATTTGCATATGCTAGCCACAAAAAAGTTTGGTATCCTACTGGAGAGTTAGTGGAAGAACTAGACATATAGCCAGGGTCTTCTACATTGCTCTTCTGTGATCAATGCATTATTCCACCCCACTGTAACAATTCTATCTTGGTGTGAACATTATTCCTCATACAACTTATAACTGTATATATAAGCATTTCTCTGACCATCCAAAATTCACTGAGTAAAATTGGTACATAATGCTTGAGCTAAGATATAAGACAATATGAAGTATATATTTTTATTTTTACTTATTAAATTATCTTAATTTTTTTAATAAACCACATGTATGCAACACATGTATAGAGAGTATACAAGATATCTCTTTCAAAGAAGAGACTTCTAAACTTCTATCAAAACAGAATGCATTCCAATAATGTTAATAGAGTAAACAATCTATTTCACCTTGCCTCCCCTGTAACCAATGACACACTTAAAACTGTTGGCTATTCCTCCTTCTTGAATACTTTCATGGTGCTGCCTCTGTGACATGTTCTCCTGATGGTTCTCATCCCACAAGGGCCACTTATTCTCAGTCTCTTTTGCTGGTCCCTTCTTGTCACTCAACCTCTTCATGCTAGAGTGTCCCAGAACTCCAGCCTTTATCCTCATCTCTATCTATATTCATGCTCTTGGTAATCTCATGCAATCTCTCCCACTCTCCCTACATGCTGATGGTCCCAAATTTATATCTCCCCTTACCTGTCCCCTGGACCCATGCTTGTTTGTCTAAACTTCCTCTTCGGCAGCTCCACATGGACACCTAATGAGCATCTCAAATATAGCATGCCAAAACTAAGTTCTTCTTATTCTCTGCTCCTCCCCTTCACTCGCAATACCCACCAAACCCTGCACCAACCATAGTCTTCAACAAAGCACCTAATGAAAACTCCATATTTCCAGTTGCTCAAGACAGACATTGGAATCATCCTTGACTCCTTCTCTCATGCCCAATCCACCAGCAAATCCTGGTGGTTTTACCTTTAAAACATGTCAAACCATGCCACACCTCTGTTCAGAACCTTCCAAAAGTTTTCTATCTCATTGCAAGTAAAGTCAATGTTTGCAATGGCAACAAGGCCCTATACAACATGACCCCTAGATGCTTCTCTGGCCCAGTGATGCTCTCACCATCCCCATCCCCACTACACCCCAGCTACATTGACCTCATTGCTTTTCCTTAAAAATGTTAGGCACATTCCCACCCCAAGGTACTTGCATTTTTGTTCCTTTTGCCTGAAATATTCCACCTTAAATAACCTCAAGACTGGTTCCTGGTTGGGTACAGTGGCTCATGTCTGTAATCCTAGCACTTTGGAAGGCCAGTGTAGGAGGCTCACTCGAGGCCAGGAATCCAAGACCAGCCTGAACAACATAGTGAGAGTTTGTCTATCAAAAAAAAATAAAAAAAAAGCTGGATATAGAGGCATGCACCTATACTCCCAGCTACTCAGGAGGCTGAGGCAGAAGGATCACTTGAGCCAAGACTTTGAGGTTACAGTAAGCTGTGATGATGCAACTACACTCTAGCCTGGGCAATAGAGAGAGACCCTGTCTCAAGAGAAAAGGAAAGGACTCATTCCTTTACCTTTTTCAGATTTTACACAAATTCCATCTTTCAAAGAAGACTTTCATCTCTTTCCTAATTAAAAATCAATCCCTTAATATTCTCCATCCTGCTTTTTTCCATTCTCTGTCATCCATCTACCTATCTATATTTATCATCTATAAATCTATCATCTCTTATCATACTATAAAATTTAATAATTAATTGTTTGTTTATTCCCCTACTGAAGCAGAAGCTTCATGATTGCCATCCTTTTTGTTTGGTGTGCCCACTATAGCCTGAAAGAATGACTGGTGCATGGTAGACATTCACTAAATACTTGTTGACAAAATGAATATATGAAATAAGGAATGAATGAATGGACCAATTACCCACTTGCTTTTTAATCTCTTTTGCATTATGAACCCAATTTAGAGTCTGAGGAAAGCCCCTCCATAAACAAACGAAAACTATATAGACATAGGTAGAAAGATAGAGAGGTAGAGAGATGGATGATAGATAAAGATAGGAGGACTTCTTTCCAGGAAGAAGAAAAAAACAGCACAGTAGGAAAGGAACTAAAGAGGACTAACAAGCTGCTGGGCTAGGACCCAGAAGCAGAGGACAGGAAGGTTAAGTGGGTGAGAACAGGGATTGTGTATAGCCAGGCAGGGCCAAATTTCTTTTCTCTGAGTTCTCAATATCTGCTTCAAAAAAGAAATCTTATCCGAAAAATAAGCTTTCATCCTTTCATGTCACCCTAGTGCTATTAATATGAAGTTATTTAAGGGGTTTTATTTGGTTCTAAAGAAATCTAGACATCTGCTTCTGAGGGAGATCCTAATATTTTATTGAAAAAACTAAGATCTTGGAAGATTAACAAAAATTTGTGAAATGGATCTTAAACAGGCACAAAAGAATTAACCACTTCTTTAAATATGATAAAAGTTTTTAGAAGAGGGTGTCTTCAACTTTGGGCATTAGGCTAACACTGCTCTTACGGTTTTTGGCGCTAAACAATTTAAATTTCTTACCATTTGGCTCAAACTTGTGTTCTTTTATGGATGTAAGTAAAACAAAACAAAACAAAAAAACTATAGACAAGGATAGAGAGGAAGGAAATGAAAGAAACAACAAAACCTTCCGAGCTCCTTCCTGGACCAGACACCCTGGGTCTCAGAGCCTCACATAGTGGCTCTGCTGCTCCTGGATGTCACAGGAGGCTTTGAGCTACCCCCATGGCACCCACTTTGCTTTCTGGCAGACAAGCAAGGTTTGGCAGAGGTTCCAAAAATATTGTGAAAGAGAGAATGCTGTACTTTCCATTTTTACTCCAGATATTCAGTACATGTCTTGACTCAAGACCTAAACATTGGAAACGTGTTCTACCAGAGCAGTTTAGAGAAGGGGAGAGTTCATTCCTCTTTTGACTTAGGCCAGAGTAACTCTGAGTTTCCGCCAGACCCATTAATCATTTATTTTTAAATAAAAATAGGCTTAGCCAAAAGTTAGTGAACGCTGAGCTGTCAGAAATTCCTAAAGATCTATATTTAGTATGTGACATAATAGTTTTCTTGACTTTCTAGAAGAATTTCCCTGAAGAGCATTCGTTCCAGCACAATCCCAGCATGGGCATTTTTCTTTATTTGTGGAACATGGCTGTTGCTAATGTAAACATTATTGTTAAAACAGTTTCCTTGTTTCTGCATGAAACTCTGTTATCTTTGCTTGTCCACGCTCAAGCTTTGAAGTTTTTTTTTTTTTAATAAATGTTTTTATTGCAATATAATATACATAGAGAAAAGTACACTAGTAGAAAATTGTGTGCTTGAGGAATTATCACAAAATGAATACATCCATGTAACCACCACTGAGGTCATAAAAGGACCCACACCCAGGACTCAGAAGCTCCACTTGTACCCCTCCCTGTCACAATCGCCCCTCTTCCTCAAAGGCAACCACTCTCTTGACTGCTTTGAATTTTAACACCAGTTTAAAATAATTATTATAGCCTTTCAACATGAATAAACATACATGTGCCGAATTACCTGTTTCCATTCAATAGGTCAATGTGCTTTGTCTTTGTTTTGTTTCTTTAACAAAGACAGTTCCCCCATCGACATGTCCTCCTACCTCCTAAGGTTAATGGGACCACATGGCGTGGGTCCTGTTACATTTCATCAACACCAGCACTACACCTGTGCTGCAGGCCTAAGGCACCTACAGAAAGGGCTGCTTCCCACAAATGTACAGAGACAGCCGCTCTTCAGCCGGGTGTAGTAGGCAGTCCTGAGCTGGCTCCCAACTTTCTCTGCTTCCTGGCATTCAAGCCCTTGTGTGATACCCTCCCTGAAAATAGGCTGACCTAACAACTTGCTCCTACTGAATAGAATATTGCAAAAGTAATGTGATGTCACTACTGAAATGGGTTGTAACCCACCTTGCTCACTCACTCTCAGTCTCACTTACTCAGAGGGAAGCCAGCTTCCAAGTTGTGAGCCACCCTATGAGGAAACCCACGAGTCTAGGAACTCAGGGTGGCCTCCAGCCAGCAGCCAGAGAGCAACTGAGACCCTCAGTCCAACAACCTGCAAGGGACTGAATCCTGCCAACAACCATGTTCAAGAACATACGTGCAGATCCCTCTCAGTGGGAGAGAACGAATGCAGCCCCAGCTGACACCTTGATCACAGCCTTGTGAGAGACCTGGAGGGAGAAGCATTTGAAACTTCTGGATTCACTGAGTGCATGGCCACAGTGCATGGAGGGCAAAAGGTCACAGAGAACCAGGGGATGGCAACATCTTGGATTCTTTTCATAAATGTGGGCTCCCCGGGGCCAGGTCAGGGTATGGTCCAGTGAAGGTCTAACATCCTAAGTCTGCTGCTCTACAGAAAGCCTGTGGTCACAGTCTTTTTCCTGCTACAAATGGCCCAAACTGCTCAAGCTCTCCTTGGTCTATAAGTTTCCATTTCTTGCAACATGGACTGCAAGATATCACCCACTGATATCATCCAACACAGTCCATTTCCTTGAATGTTCTTCCCTTCCTGATAGTCTTCATCTCTTTCTTACTCATGGGTTCTATGACATTATCCCTAATGCCCCCAGTCAGCCACTTCCCTCCTCTGGGCCACCAAAGCACCCTGCGCATGTATCAGCTATAGTACTCATTGCATTGCATCTTAACTACATTTTTGTTTTCTGCTGCCCAGTGGAATCAATTCAACAGTCCTAGTGACCAAGAATAGTGCCTGGTACACAGTAAGATTCAAGAAATATTTGCTCAATGAAAATTTTAGGCATAGCTATCACAGATAAGACAGAAAAATCCCAACACACCATGACGTATTACATTGAATGACCAAATGTATTTATCAACTCTGTACATACGATGGGATAAGGACTGGTAATAGCTTTCATCATTAAATATGAGAGAATTTCTCTGCATTTGTATATTTTCTTTTTATAATCAAAATACACTTTCCCTTTTTCTTTCCAGCCTCATTTTTGCAGCCCTTTAGGATGCTTCGGTCTTCCACTGACTAACTGGGATGCCTGAGTAAGAGCTTTTGACTGCTGACGCTTCTTTCTGGATAGGGACTCAAATTCTTAATGCAAAAGGCCATGTACAGAATAGAATTAAATTTCAGGATCTACCAAGGCTTTTCAAAATGTATGAATCTAATGCTAATTCAGGACTGTTTTACAAAGTATCCTGGCCTCCTCCTGCTCATGCTGTGATCTAAATGTGAAAGCAGGACACTATTGTTATGAAGAACCATTTCAGTTATGGGAGGCCCTGAAAATAGCTTCAGTACGTCCTGTACACTGTCCCTATTCCCATTGTGAAAACATCTGCTGGTCTTTTACTGCAAAGTATATACTTCTTCCCCCTGCCAGGCTCTCATGGTATTCCTTAGCTGCAGTGCCTACAGCTGACAGTAAGTCTTTGCTGTATCTGAAATTTAAACATTTTCTTTTGGATGTAGTACAGAAGAATGGCACACTTGAATGAATCAGAAAAAAAAAAAAACCAAGATCTTATTTCTACTACTGTTTATTCTCACCAGTTGATGCTCTCTGTCTCTAATTAATATTTATTGAGCCAGGTCCTATGCTAGTTACAGGGGTTATAAAAACAAATTACACATGACCCTTGCCATCTAAGAACTTGAAATTTGAAATTTTATGTCAGAGTGAATGTAAAAATCAAGGCCCATTGTAGAAAATTGCCTTGGGTGCTACTGTGTGAATGTCCCAGTGCTTTAAGAATGCCAAGGTTGGCTGGGCAGGGTGGCTCACGCCTGTAATACTAGCACTCTGGGAGGCTGAGGAGGGAGGAATTATGAGCTCAGGAGTTCCAAACCAGCCTGAGCAAGAGCAAGATCCCATCTCTACTAAAAATAGAAAAATTAGTTCGCTATCATGGTGTAGCTACAGTACCTACAGTACCAGCTACTCAGGAGGCTGAGGCAGGAGAATCACTCGAGCTCAGGAGTTTGAGATTGTAGTGAGCTATGAATGATGCCACTGCGCTCTACCTAGGGTAGCAGAGTAAGACTTTGTCTCATAAAAAAAAAAAAAAAAAAAAAAAGAAAGAAAAAAGAAAAGAATAAAAAGAAAAAGAATGCCAAGGTTATATCACTTATAAGATCTTTATAAGATTTTATTTACTTTACCCACACAAACATGCTCTGATTAGCATGCATCTCTCTGCAGACCCCACCGTTTGTTTTTTGTTTTTTGTTTTTAATACATATCCATAGAATTCATCCAATCTGAAATTTTGTTACCTTTAATGTGCTATTCAAAGTTCGGATTTTGTGGAGTTTCTCATTTATGGATGGATTTTTGCACCGTTTAACAAAGGACTTTCTCAACTCCTTTTTGGTTGAAGGTCGTCGGTCCCCAAGAGGAGATAGACTGGCTTGCTCTAAGGATTTGTAGAGCTTTTCCATTTCATCATCTTCAGATGCTTTTGTTTCTTCTATTAAAAAAAAAAAAAAGCAATAACAATAAACCTGGTTAAAATCAAGGAAAGAACATTCAATACTATTGTTCTAAAGCATGGCCCTGTGGACACTTTAATCTTCTAGTCTCCAGAATTGTGAGACAATAAATTTTTGTTGTCTAAGCCATCCAATTTGTGGCATTTTGTTACTGCAGAGCCATGCTTCTTTCGAAGGCACTAGGAAAGGAACTGTTCCAGACCTCTCTCCTAGCTTCTGGTGGTTCCTTGGTTTGTGGCTGCGTAACTCCAATATTCATATGGTGTTTTCCCTGTGTGCATTTCCCTTCATGTCCCTGTGTACATGTCCCCCTTCTATCTGGACACTAGTCATATTGGATTAGAGGCCTAGCATATCTTAGTTAAATTTATAACAACTCCAATCCCAATAAGGTCACATTCTGAGATATTAGGATTTAGGACTTCAACATATGAATTTTGGAGGGACATAATTCAACCCATAATAGTCCACCCTCTGGCCCCCCAAAATTCATGTGCTTCTCAAGTGCAAAATACATTCACACTATCCTAACATCTCCAAAAGTCTCAACCCATTCCAACGTCAACTCTAAGACCCAATCTCATCCAAATGTCATATATATCAAGTATTGGTGAGCTCGAGGTGAAACTCAGGGGATGATTCATCCCAGGGCAAAATTCCTCTCCATCTTTTAACTTATGAAACTAGACAAATATCTGCTTCTAAAATACAATGGTGGGCAGGCAAGCCCTAGCAAACTCATATACACCCTAAAGTTTGAGAATCGCTGCCTTGGATGACTTCTTAATATCCTTCCCAGAACTATCCTTTGAGAGAAGAAAGCTGCTTGTGATCTGTGGTTCTGAGTAGACAGTGATCATCCCCATCTTGCCACATAGGGAAGTAACTATACCACAGGGTTCAGGGAGACTACATGTACTAGACTAAACCACTGGCAGTTCTACTGTTCTGGCCATAGTCATTGATGCAGACAAAAGCAAGTGTCTCAAGTCAGGCCCAGGGGGTCCAGGAAAACTGGGTTCTGGGACTTTGGTTTGGGTTTGGGATATCATCAGGGAAGGCATCTCTCTTCTTTTCTTTCCTTTTTTTTTAATTTTTTTTTATTTTGAGACACTCTGGGTAGAATGCAGTGGCATCATCATAGCTCACTGCAACCTCAAAATCCTGGGCTCAAGGGATCCTCCTACCTTAGCCTCCCAAGCAGCTGGGACTATAGGTACACACCATCATGCCCACCTAATTTTTCTATTTTTTAGTAGAGACAGGATCTCACTTTTGCTTAGGCTGATCTTGAACTCCTGAGCTCAAGCAATCCTCCCTTCTAGGCCTCCCAAAGTGCTAGGATGACAGGCATGAGCCACCATACCCAGCCCTCTCTTTTTCTTTTAAACTGAATGTTGTGATTATGTGAGCTGGAAGCTTCTAGGAATCATCCCAAGATTAATAATGATGCAGCCAATCAATCCTGAGACACAGATCTTGATGACACCAATAGACTCCTCTCAGTCCATGGGAGCCAGTCTGTCACCTTTGTTAAGTTACTCTGGGTTGTGGTATTCAAGCATATGCCCCTAAAAGGGCCTCAAATGATACAGAGGTTACCCAAAGAAAATCTCGATTTCTTAATTTTGCTCTAATTTCTCACTAAGAACTTTAGTCCTTCATTCCTTCAAACCCTGAAAATAATCTTGGGAAAGATACATAAGGAAATTTCTTTTGCCACCATGTACTCCTCAATGTTTATATGTTTTGTTCCTGTCCAGAGAGCAAGCTTGAGAGAAGACCCTACAAAAAGTACGGCATTAAAAAGAACTAAAAAAAATAAAATAAAATAACTTCTCCAAAGGGAAAAGGAAAGCATATTATGGCTATCTAGGAGCATCAAAATCAAGCAAACTTCACTGACTTTATAGTTTACTCTTCTAAAATTAGAAATCTTTAAGTAAGAATTAGTTTTCCCCAGTGGACCCCAGAAAGTTACCACAAGTATTCACAATACTCTTTCATAAAATGGAAAGCAGAGATGTTGAACTAACTTTGTAACTGATTTAAACATTTGTCAGCACAACCTCTTTTTTCTCTACCAAACACTCTCAAAAAAGGGAAAAAATATTCAAAACTATATCTGAAGGAAATTAGACTTTTTGGCTCAAGCTGTGTGCGCAGACATCAAAAGTGGGCTTTCATCAACAAGCACATGAAAAAATGTTCATCATCATTACTCATTAGGGAAATACAAGCCAAAAACCACAAAGAGATACCACTTCACACCCACCAGGGTGGCCAAAATTAAAAAGACAGACAATAGTAAGTGTGAGTGAGGATGTAGAAAAATTGGAGACCTCATACACTGCTGGTGGGGATGTAAAATGGAGCCACCACTTTAGGAATTAGTTTGGCAGTTCTTCAAAATGCTAAACATAGAGTTAGCATGTGACCCAGCAATTCTACTCCTAGATATATATCCAAGAGAACTGAAAACATATGTTCACACAGGAGACAGGATCGAGATGGCCAACTAGACACAGGAAGTATGTGCCTCCTCCACAGAGAAAACCAGAATAGTAAGCAGATTCTCCATTTCAAACAGATTGTCTAGGCGAGAACTCTAGGATTCACCAAGGAAGCAAAGGGAAGCACAAAAAGTGGGTGAAGAGAGAGTTCAGGGCAACTTGCCCAACTAGGGACGGGCTAAGAGCTCGGAGAAGCTCTTGGACATAGGCAAACAATAAGAGAGAAGTCCCCAAGGCACATATTCCAAGACAAGATCTTAACATCTTAGCTACAAGAGAACACCCCCTACCTACCCACCCATGCAGGTCTTGGGCCTACCATAGGAAGCAGCCTAGAGATTGCACAGAGATGTTGCTCCAGAAAGGGAACCCACATGAAATCCCACAGGCATCTGAGCCTACAGCAGCTTGAGCTAGATGTCATTCTGAGAGCCTAGATACCAGGGAACTGTGGATACACTGGCAGTCACTGTGCAGCCCCGAGGGTGGATAGACGCGCAGGGATAGAGGAGCCCAGGTGTTCCCACATACCCCTGAGAAGGTCCCCACCACACTGATGTAGGCTTTTGTTCAGACCAAGATGTGAGCGGATGATATTTTACACAGTTTCTTGCCCACACTTCTTGCCTAGGTGGGGCCCAAGCCTCACTGGTCCCATGCCCAAAGCACCATTTTGACAGTTTAGCACTGAGCTATACCTTGCTCTTGAACCAAGTTCAAGCTGATGTGGCTACAGTCCTTCCTACCTAAGGAGGGACAGGGGAGCCCAAGCTCTCCTACATACACCTAGGACAATTCCCACTGCCCTTCCATGAGTTGCTGAGAGACTGAGAGCTGAGTGAACCACACTCCCCATGGTTTCTTGCCTTCTGAGGGGGAAGAGATATCAAAAACTTTAGAAAATCTGCTTAAGGAAATAATCAATAAATATTTCCCTGAATTAACAAGACAGTTAAACATTCAGATACAAGAGACCCAAAAATCCCCAGGCAAATAAATTGAAAAAAGGACTTCATCGTGGAATATTATAATCAGAATGACTAATATCAAATTGAAAGAATGAATTTTAAGATAAGCAAGAAAAAAGTATCTAGTCATCTATAAAGGAAACCTATAAAGGAAACAGAGGACTTCTCAGCAGAAACCTTACAGGCCAAAAGAGAATAGGATGGCATTTTCAAGTGCAGAATGAAAAAGAAAAAAAAAAACCTGTCAGCCATGACCTTATATGCTGCCACAATATGCTTCATAAATTAAGGGCCAAAATAAGCTTCATAAATGAAGGAGAAATAAAATCTTTCCAGACAAGCAAATACTGAGAGAATTTGTCACTACTAGATCTACCCTACAGGAAATGCTCAAAGGGGTCTTAAACATGGAAACAAAAGGTCAATATTCACCATTACAAAAGCACATGAAATTATAAAACTCAAAGGTCTAACAAGACAATCACACAAAGGAAGAAGAGAAAAGAGTTAAATGGCATCATGACAGGAGTTCAGCAAACCACAAAGACAAAAAGAAAAAAAAGAAAGAATTTATAAAAGAAATAGAAAACGATTAACAATATGATAAGAAAAAAGCCTCACATATCAATATTAATCTTAAACATAAATGGATTAAATGTTCCACTTAAAACCTATAGATTGGCAGAATGGATGAAAAAAATATGACCCAACTATATGCTTCTTATAAGAAACTCACCTTACCCATGACACATACAGACTGAAAGTAAAGGGGTAGAAAAATATATTCCACAAAAAAAAACCAAACCAGAAGTGATAAGGAGTAGCTATACTTATATGAGATAAAACAGACTTTAATAAAAAACCATAAAAAAAGATAAATGTCATTATATAATGATAAAGGGATCAATTCAGCAAGAGGATATAACTATTCTAAATATATATGTACCCAACATCAGAACACTCACATTTATAAAACAGATATTACTAGAACTAAAGAAACAGACAGCAAAACAATAATAGTGGGGAATTTCAGACAGATCATCAAGACAGAAAATTAACAAAGAAATATTGGACTTAAATTGCACTTTAGACCAAATGGACTTAACAGACATTTAAAGAACATTCCACCCAATACCTATAGAATATACATTCATTTCATCAGCAACTGGAACATTCACCAAGATAGATCACATTTTAGTCCACAAAATGAGTCTTAACAAATTTTTAAAAAGCCAAGCCATTCTCACTGAATCATATCAGAATCTTATCAGACAACAGTAGAATAAAGCTAGAAATCAATACAAAGAGGAACTTCTGAAACTATACAAACACATAGAAATTAAACAACATGCTCCAGAATGATCACTAGGTCAATGAAAATATAAAGGAGGAAATTTTTAAAAATTTTGAAACAAATGAAAACGAAAACACAATAAACCAAAACCTGTGAGATACAGCAAAAACAATACTAAGAGGAAAGTTTATGGTATTAAATCC